GCAAAAGTTTTTCGGCAGCGCTGCAAAAGTTGATTTAAATTAGTAAATTAGAAAATGCCTAACAGCTGCGCGTCGCCAGCCGCAATGTAAAGTCAGTTGACGTTGGCGGAAGTTGTCGTCAATGTCAATAGCAGCAGCACCACCAACAACAGTTTGAACGTTTTCGTCCTTGCCAAATTGCACACACAAAAACAAGAGCATAAATTACACAAAGGCAATGGAAAGTTTTGTACCAAAGTCTGAAGTTTCATCATGTCGAAGGCGCTCCAAGTCGAAGTCCATTTTCAACAGCATCAAAGTCGTTGAAGCACATAAGTTGGAACTTTGGCCAACATGTCTAAGCGTATGCATAGCCAGGCCCAAAAATTATGAAGCACCGCCAGACAGACAGTCAGATAGTCAGGCTAGCCAGACGGCCGGAGAGGTTTCCTGTACGTGCCAGTCAGACACAAGAGTTAAAGTTAACTCAGTCCATAGTCCACGTAGGCACTTTACTTCTACATGAACTTGTTTTTGTTCAATCAACAATAAAGCTATATAGCTATATAGCTATAGCTGTAGCCAAATGTATCTATAGCAGTGGATTGTTCGTTGTTGTAGTTGTTGTTGTCACTCAGTTGTTTGCCTAAGCTCAGCGAAGTGTGCCCAAGATATTTGCGCCTGATATGCGTCACAGCGATTCGGGTTGAGCCTTCGTTGAGGCTTTGTGTGTGGACGTGGCAGTGCCTGTGCTTATATACTTGACTATGGCTGTATCACTTATGTAGACTATGCGATTACTTTGCACTTATAGAGTAATAACCGAAGCACAACCTTCTGAATTACACAAACAATACATGTATTTGTTTTGCATTTCGCCTAATGAGCTGCCCCTGATGCCAGCGTTGGCATTGCCTGCTGTTTCCTGGAAGCGGAAGTAACCCAGAGACACGTGCGCACTGAGATTCATCAAAAAATAACAAAAGCATATTACGAGAGAGATACATGAGAAGAGGAAGCTGTGACTCGCTAGGCACGAGTGATCCATTTATGTGCCTGAATATTTTAATATGAAAATTTCATGCTTCCTGCTGCCAAATTAATGCGCACCCCGGCAGCACAATAAAAAAGTATGATTTTTTCGGCGAGACAAAGTTATAAAATGCTTGAAAATTTTACGCTTTCCCAGCCATAACTGAAAAAGCGCGTGATGGCACAAAAGTTTTTAATCTAATGATGAGTTATTAGCAGAGAGGGTGCGGGATAAAGAGCATACTGCAGCTGCAGCAAGCGATATGCCGCATAGTGTGCCATAAAATGTTGCACAAAAGCGAATTTGACTGCCGCCCGCATTTTTTTCGCCTCTTTTTAAGCCTTTACGATTTGATTGCCTGCGAAAAAAAACTTGATCCGCGAACCCTTTTTTTAACCATAAGCCTTGCCCAGTTTTTGTGGCACACATATTCCAGGCAGCGAGGCATGCATCCTTTTTTGCCTGGTCCTTTTTGCTGGCGGGTGTGGGCGCAACTGCTGTGCGCTGAAAGCAAGTTTCACAAATGATTTCACATTTTTGCATAAATAAATGTCAAGTGTGCGTCGAGGCGCGCTGAGAGTTGTTGACAGCTTTCTAATAAACCCAGTGAAAAAAAGGATAATCATACAGGGCCCAGCATAATCAACAAGTAGATGTGTATCTCTATATGTGCGACTGTGTGTGTGTGTGTGGGTGTGCGGGTGGGTGTGGACATCCCTGTATGTGTGTGTGTGTGTCTGTGTGGCGTCCACTTTAGCTGAGCAATAATAATAATAACCTTGGCTGCCATGACGCCTCGTATTTTTCAATGTGGCTTTTCAAGAGCTTGGAAAAACGAGACTTTTCTCATATATGAAAATGACAATTTCCATTGCCACTACAAAGGCACTTGCTTAGCTACAGGGCTTGGTGGAAGGGCCACAACTCTCCCTTCCTCTCTTTCTTGCTATCATTATATCTATCTCACTCTATATCTGCCGGTTTTCATGGCTGCGTGGGTTCCTTGGTTATTTTAGGATTGCCTGGCAACGGCGTTGGCAATTTTAATAATGTTTACTTAAGGCGCAGCAGCCTATCCTGTGCATGTGTGTGTAAATAAATAAAGCAGCAGTCAGCAGCAGTAGCAGCCAAGTTTAGTACAAAGGCGCCACAAGGCAAGTGTAGCATACTTATGCGGGCCAGACAAGGGCTTGCAACCTGATGTGCAGCGAGGCATGCCAAATGACAGCTGCTTATATTGTATATAATAAATGGCACCAGCTCAACAATCTGCCTTCAGAATGCATCCAAGAATTGCAACTCAAAGTGACACTTTACGCAGGACAAAGCATGCGGCATTTTCAAATCTGCCCTGCTTTCTTCTCTCAGCTTTTGCCATGGCAATCGCTGCTGCTGCGGCTATGAAAACCATAATTTATAACACTAGTCTAGGTTTGTGCTGGTGCTAGTGCTGTGTGTCCAAAAGTCATAATAAGCCTTTCTAAAATTTATATAAATATCATTTCTAAGCTGCAGCTGTTGCCTAATGAGCGGATTAAGTGGCCTGCCACGAACTGCCTGCTTGGCAGCCAAGAGCCATGAGCTATGCTGACTGCAATGGGGCGCTTCCTTTGCCAGTTCCTTTTCCGGTTTCCGGGCAACCCTTTTGTTGAGCATAGCCAAGGCAATCTAAAATGCTGCCAACGCCAATAGATCTCAGGATTTCTCTTACTTAAGTTCGGTTTCGTTAACCTTGTGCACACGTAATGTGCATTGCCCATTGCTGCCATGTCCTGGTAGGGCATTACTTATACATACAACAAGGCGATGGCCAAATAAACCAAATAAAAATAAATACAACACATGTAGAGGGACTAAGCGAAACAAAGCAGCAACCATTTCTTTTCTAGTCCCTATATCAAACCTAGCGCATTCGGCACGAATGCTGCCAGCAAAGTCCTGGCTCCTTTGTTTGGCAAAGGATTTGCTTGTTGAAGAGCGTTAAACAAAAACAAAATAAGAAAGAAAAAATACGAATATATATGGTTGTTCAGGCGTTTATATTGGAAAATATTGATTTACCTGCTATCAAAGACAGCTGCGACACGTTGAATTTGTATGTGCCACACCCACTGCAACGTGGTACATGCTATGCCTTTATGCCACCAAATCCAAACACATAAACGCAATAATCAATAGAGATTTGCCGGAGCTTACGCTGCCTCCACTGAGTGCACATACTGTCAATGGAGACAGTAAATGCGAAACGTGCGACTCTAACTGAGATTGACGTTTTGCGGCACGTCATGTGGCGTCACAAAGTAATGCTCAACAAGTGCAGTTAAGGCCACATCATTAACATTTGGCCGCACACTCAATGTCAAGGCAACCGAGCCAACTATACGCCCTGTTATCTCAGGTGCTAGTTATATACTTGTTATGGTTATGCACATGTCTGCCTGCCGGCTCTCATGCGTGTGGCAGCAATTACGTGAATGTTGCAATGATGCGCGTTTCCTTAGGCGCAGCAGCAGAGCACGATAAACGGTTGCTAGGCATGGCTTAAGTTTACTTTAAGGTTAGTTGTATGCATTTCTATAGTATAAATTCATGCGGAAATGGTAAGTAATTTAAATACGTATTTTGATTCAATCGAAATGTCCAGCATATATTAATTTTGCTACGGATTACTTATCACTTAGCCACAGCTGTTAAAATAGTATGAAAATCATATATTGCGCGTTGTCTATTCGTTAAGTTAGCAGTCTCTTTGCATTGCTTCCGGCCCCCTTGGCTGATACTTGGGCATGGTAAAGTATTTTTAGCCATGCTTATAATTCACGAAGCTGCCTTCGCAGAGAGTGTATTCACATTGACTTAATAAGTTGACAGCAGACAGCAGCAGTCAGTCAGCGCCACGCTTACACTTACTCACGCTCACGATCACGTTGTTTGCCTAGTACTACTGGCTGCCAAGGCCCATTCCCCTAACAATTCTCTCATGTTTCATATGTTGATTTTGCTGCCACACGCACATGTTGTAAACTTTTTCGCTGCCAGGTCTCATATTCTTGGCCAATTTGAAAAATTGGCCTCATTATGTATACGCCACCGTTGGCAGCTGCGCCTTTAATTAGCATTTAAAACTTCACTCGAACTGTCAAATTTTTGATTTCAGCGTTTAGCTGGCAGTTAAATGCAAGCAGATTCCATTGTTTTACGCAATAACACAGCTCATAAAATCTACTAACTAATGCGCAGCCATGACAGCAATGACAGCAATGACATGACCCCCCACCGCCACCCAACCCATGCGGAGCAGACCACATTTGGACTGCCTGTTGCGTGTGCCTGGTAGGTGGCCATTTGTTTGTGCAAAATGTTGCTTTGCGCAAAATTATGCAAATTTGATGTGCGTTTTGTGAGCATGAGAAATACGCTTGCTCCCTTGCTGTTCTCTGGGCCCGAGTGCCTGTCTGTATCTCAGTGTGTGTTGGGTGCACCGCATCCCAAGCGCTAAGCAAACGGCACTCGCCCTTCTGGTCGGAGCTTAGTTTGTGCGAGTTTGTTCGGACAGCAAGCAAAGTGCAAAGCAAACAGAGCTTTTAAAAATAGGTAAAACAAACAACATGCATCAAAAGTTGTCTAACAAATATTTTTTTATACCCTTTAAAGTTATGGCAACTCGTTAGCTGAGCCACAAAAAGCTTTAAATTACATTTGCCAACAATAAAATTTCTTGTATTGTATTCAAGCATTTATAAAAAGCAACATTTTAATTAATTTTTCTATCTATAAATTGCGAATAATATTTATGCACATAGCTAAGCGAGTTCTTTAATTTTCTCATCTATTTTTTATTAGCCTTTGTAGAATATTTAAAGAATATTTGCTTATCTCTGCGTTTTATTATTTTCTTTGTATACGGTATTAAGCAAGAAATAACATTTTATTTAAGCCTTCCTATTTATAAGTCAGTTGTTGTTTTACTTTTTTTTTTTTCTTTTAGCAAGGCAACCGGAAAGCAAAACGATTCTGGGCGTGTTAATCTGATCAAAGTGCGGCAGCTACGAAAACAACGCAACAATTTTGCGCCAAATGAAAGAACAACACGAAATTTGTGCAAACTTTTGGCCGCCGCCGTCGTTTGCTGTGGCTGTTGTGGCCCAGCCGAGCAGCCAGCTGCCGCACACACATGGCGAGGCTTGGAAACGGAAGCCACACACACACACGCACACACAAACGCACACATATTCACATATGGAGCTAAATAAACTGCTCATTATTATGCAAAGTTTTCCTCCTTGGCGTTATCTGCTCGGCCGGAAGATGAACGAGAGCTTCAAGTCCGGGCAACCAAACGCAACAGCCTGTTACCCCGCCTCTTCAACCTCCTGCTCCATATGGCATAATTGGCATACTGTGGCCAACAGTAAGCGGAATAGGAGACCCTATAAAATGATATATGAGGCGGCTGGCCCCGTTTAATATTTCATTTGGGAAGCACACTTAAGGGATTTTGATTTTGTCCTGCAGCAGATAAAAATTACTGCATATAACATTTATTTTGCAGTCGCATAAAATATAAAATTCAATTTCAGAAGCGCAAAAAATCAACCAAATCTGCTAAAAAAAAGTAGAAGCTTAATGCGCTTACGCTTACCACGCCATGAAAAATGAGTTGTTGGGCATGTCGAGCGCTGTTGCGTCTACCCAAAAAAAAATATAACGAAAATATATATGATTTATGGGAGCAGGAGCACAAAGCAGCGTTCAGTCTGAAAAAGCATAATGCTCGCTTTTCGGGTTATTCCAATTTTTTAAAGCCAACGATAAGGCAAGACCTTGGCAATCAGCATATGCGTGGCCTCGTTTTGGCACCCCCCGATACACACCCACGCACCCACACACAGACGGGCACAGTCGAATAAACAGTCACCTCTGTCTGCTGGCAACAAAGCGCCGTTAAACACGCCAGCTAAAACACACCCAGCTAACCGCGAATAACAACAAGGAGAGGAGCAACAACAACAGCATGTACTCGTAATTGCCTCGTTTCATTTTTAATAACTGTCAATCCTTTGGCTTTTGGGCGCGGCAGTTGCCAAACTGACAAAACCGCTCGTAATTTGCGTATAGCATATGAGCCTCAACCGCAACAACAACAGCAACTGCGAGAAGCAATACAATTTTTGACAACAGCCATAAAAACTCAGTGAAACAATGTTCAAAGTGGTTGTAGAAAATTAGTCACTCATATGATACATATATATATGTATACTTATATTCTAGAATGTTTTCCGATATATTTCGACTTGCACATTTAAGTTCTTTAAAAAAAGATTTTTTTTTTAAAAATCAGCTTTTTTTTGTAGCATATTGTAAGGTAAAGTTCTTAATTGAATAAGTATCTATGCTCACAAATAAAGCTTTGCAAGGGCATTAAAATGTCGTTGTATTTAAGCTTGTTTTCCTTTTTCTTCTGTTTTTTTTTTCATGTTTGTGGTAAAACTTTTTGCACAGCTCGTTTGATAAATGCTTGCTTCAACTTTTCGCCAAACTGTTGCTCTCAGCTTAGCTCAGTTCCCAGTTTCAATTTTCCAAGCTTTGTAACCAAGCGATATCAGCGAGCCACAGCGTCGTGGTCGTGAAAAAAACACGAACTGTGCACGGAGAAAAAAAACGTAGAAATTTGCGTAAAACTTTAAGCAAACAAGCCGCCCAGGGCTGGCCTGGCCTTGGCCATTGCAGATTTCGCCTATGTGCCGCAGCTACCAGTTGGCAATAGGGGCAACTAGCTGGGAGAGCCGAGAGCTGAGAAGCTGTCAAAACTTCGCTGGTTTGCCATCCATCTCAGTCTTTATTATATTGTTGTTGTGCATGCTTAACTTTACATTTAGGAAAAATTCTTTAGATTTTTCACAATGTATTATTTATATTTGTTTTATGCTTTTTAAGTTTTGCGTAGCTCATGGTGCATACATTAATCATTTCGAGTGCACGGGCGTTATGGGATCAAAATGCCAAATTGTGCCCCTGGGTGCCAATTACATTAATCAAAGCATGAGACCAAAGCCTGAACTCAAATATTTCATTAGACCTGCACTGTAAAATCCAATCCCAAAATCCACTCAAACTATGAGAAGGTCGGAAAAAATGACAATTTTTGCTGCAGAGCCACTGCGGGCCAGTCAAACAATGCGGCAAAATTGTGTTTGCCGAGAGTGATGGGTGAGTGCGGGGGGTGCATTAGCTAACATAAACCATTATCAGCTGCTTTGAAGAGATTATAGTCACAGTTGGAAGAGAGCGGAGCAAGAAGGGCGGGCATACAGAGTTGGACATGGGTCAGGGATACTTTTAACAAAAATGTAAACAAGCAGCTAGGCCAGGCATCGCCTTAGTTAACCACCTTTGTCTGCGCTTCTGCATTGGTATGTGTGTGTGTGTGAGAGCTTGTGTTTGCCGGATATTAGGTTTAGTCCGCGTAACGATAATGGCAATGCCAACAGCCGGCGGCCAAGCAAATCCAGCCAAACACACAGAAAATTGCGCACGAAATTTGTAAAATTTGTTACATTTTCTTTCGGCCGGAGCTGTGGCGCGGGATTTACTGTAGCATTTATATGGAAATTATGTTATTATGCTAAGCAAAAGAATATCTTAAACAGCAACAACTAACTGGAGGTCATGTCTTAATAATTTAAGCCAACAATTTGTTGCTTTACATGGCAATGGACTTTAATTTTGGGAATTAACAACGATTTGCCAGTGAATGCGTCGCCTGAAACATAAGTAATAGTTGCATACGTATGCAAATGCTGCTGGAAAAAGCTTCACTCTGCGCTTCTTTGAGTGAATATTTTAATTGAAAATTGCAGGGCGCAGCAAGTAAATAGGACCGACAGCAACTGCAAACGACAAGTTGACAACTGATTGCATGACTGAGTTATGTGTGTGCGCATATTGCTAGGGGTAGGTCAGTGCGTGTGTGTGAGTGAGTGTGTGTGTGTGTGTGTGTGTGTGTGTGTATGTGTGTATGTGTGTATGTGTATGTGCCTACCTTGCATTTGAAGTCGTTTGATTTTTGCATAACCCTCCACTCTGCACCCCATTCACATGAATAATAAACTAAAAAGGCAGCTTTGTGCCCTGAACAACAAGTGGGCATGTCCAACGAAATTAAATTAATTAAATTCCGCTCGCTTATGCGTGTTCTGTGTGTGTGTTCGACAGCCAAACAATTTGTGTAAGTTCTGACAAAAAAAAATATACATAAATACTTAAAAAAAAAAAACAGAGGCAAATATGTGAGTTATTTAAAAAATTAAAATAAATGTTTGTGTCTGCGGCCACAGTCAAAAAAGCGTTGCCAATGGCAAATGAATTTTTTCGACCAAGTTTTTTGGCCTTCGCTGCTACTCGCCCGCCCCCAAAAGTGTGCTATAAAAAATTGCCGAGCGACGCTGGTTTATTAAAAATTTGTGCAAATGAAGTGGCAATTTACATTGTGCAATAGCACAAGGCATCAGTTGCCACCGGAGAGTTTTATTATTCTGTTTTTTTCCGAATATGCTAGACACACACATATATATAAATAATACATACACATATATCAACGCGGGGCATTAAGCTAAATAAGCGCTGGGGGACGGCTCAATTGGCTTGGCGCTTCCGCCAAAAATTAATTAATTTTTGCTGCTGCTTTATATATAAATCTTAAATACGGCGCAGAAGTAATTCGTCTCACAGCAGAAAAGGCTTCAGCAGCCCCACACACATGTTTCTCTGCGGCCTAATCTAGCAGGAGCACGAGGATTTGCCCCGAGCGTGTACAACATTTTAAACACTTTGACTTGGCAGACATTAACGAACATATATATGTACACAATCGTATATATACTATTTTGATATATGTCAGACAAACTTGAACATATAAACAGACAGACAGGGAACTGAGACACAGAGTAGAGTCAGTAGTTTAAAATGCCATTAAATGCTGAGAGATGGGCAGCCTGTCAGGCTAGTGACATGTCTTCTGGCAGCTACCCCTCCCTCTGAATGTTTGTGTGTGTGTGTGGGAGAAGGAAGAGGCGAACGAGCTGTCAGCATATATAACTGTTGCTGTCAGGATTATGGCTTGTCATATTATGTATTATGGCGTATTTTATTTGCATTCAATTAAAACGCACGTGTCACTCGCTTGCGCATACAAATTGCTAACAAAATGAGGCGGAAATTTATGTAAATTTGTGTCCCAAAAGGCTGGGCAAGAATTATTTTTTGTTAACGTATGCCATAAAGCAGCTAAAAATCAAAAACAATTTTGCCTACGCTGTGCAGTGTCAAAGAGCAAACCATCAAATATAATCTACAATTATAATGCAATAAAGTTGTAAAATTACACAGATATATTTTTGTAAAATATTTGTTTTAAATATAATTGTACAGTTGTTGTGGCGATTCCTAAAATTAAATTAGCCCATAATCATAACAATTATATTTTATTATGTCTCTGATCTAAATGTGGGGCGCACAAAACGCTTATTACGGATTGATAAGAATCTAAATTAAAATGGCATCCATAAAACAACTTTTGGCCAGGACAGGTGCAGACGAGTACAAAATCGCTGGCGGGGTTAGGGTGGCCAAGAGTAATGACTGTTTCTCAGTGCCACTACTGCGGCCCCTGCTGAAAACCCAGCTAAATGTTGCTCTTGGGGCCCCGGTCTTTGGGTTAGTTGAAGCGTAGCCGTATCTATTGTGGCATTAAGCAAAACTCACAGACCCCGCGCACCGTGCACGACTCTGCTGATTGGCATCAATATGCCAGGCCAGTCACGTTCAGAAAGTCTTAATCGAAGACCGCACAGCTGCTGGACACAACTTAAAGCCCATTAATTTTGAGGCAAAAACAGTTCTTGAAGTGGCAGCGGCGCTTGAGTTAAGCTCCTGGCGCCTGTCGACTGAGGTCTGGTGCCTGATGCCTGCTGCCTGGCAAATTACTAACTTAATTATAAATTAATTATCTAACAAAGCATAGAATGCCAGACAAGGCGGTGCCAAACATCAAAGTATCAATAATTAATCGCCTCGGTAATGTTTTCAATTTCTTGCTTCATTAGCTGGTTTTATTTGGTCCTTCAAGACGTTCGGGCCATGAGCCTCAGGCTTTTGTTTTGCTAATCCCTGCGAGTAGGTGTCCTACGAGAGACAGCAGTCGGAGCAGAAGTAGATGTAGCAGCAGCTCCGCTAAGCCAGCTTAATAGATTTTTCTTTTCTTGGCCC